GGGTTGGGGGTTGTGGGGCTTATGGTGTGAGGGCGTTAGTGGTGGGGTTTCAGCAAGCACGGGCTTCAGCACAGATTGACAACAACGTACCTGTCTTTCTGCAAACGTTAACCTTCTGCCCAAAAACTTTGAAAAGGGGGCTGGGGTGGTTAGTGGCAGGGTAGGGACAGACTTCCCACCCAAAAAAATTGAAAAGGGGGGTGGGGAGGGATAGGGGGTGTGCTGGGAGCATTAACGTGGGGAAGGGTAGGGAAGGTGGCCTATCCTGTCAGGACAACCACCGACTGCCACTGCCAGCGATCACCGTGCGTCTAGTCCTTGGTCTCTACAACACCCTGGGCTTAAAAAAAAAAAAAAAAAACAGATGCGGCCAACGGGGAGGGAACCGGCCCGGTAGGACCGGTCTGGTTCTGGTTGGGGGAGGGCCCCCCGGTCCTACCGAGTTTACAGCACTGCTTTATGGGCAATCTGGAAGGAGAGATGCATCAGGACTCTGGACAATATGAAGAATGCACTTCACAAAGTATGGGCTGCTATAAAAATCATAATGGAAGCAGAGGTCCTCAGCTGCGAATGGAGGAGGGTCAAGGAGACTTTTCAGCGCTACCCGGACACAGGTCAGGCACATCTGACAAAGTTAAGAGGAATCTGGCTCGCGCAGGACAAGGTGGCTGATGTTAGTGACATGCGGCTGAAATTCAAGGATCGGCACGATTAGGAGCTTCCATTGTGGCGACAGGAATCCCTGGTGGAATGGCCTCAAAGCCCGGCAAGCTTATGACAACCTGATGATGGAGGAAAGGCAGCCTTCTTATGATTCTTGATGTGAAAAAAATGTTAGAGCGGGCAGGTCCACAAAAGGGACCTGAGAGGAATACACGAGACGGGCAAGCTGGCAGTCAATCCACCCGTAACAGGGACCAATCGATGCTGGTCAGGGAACCTTCAGCGGAACGGAAGGATGCGTGAGTGCGTATATGATGAATCTATTGACTTGCTGGGGGAATAGGAACCGGACTGACGCTCCCCAGAATGGACATGGAGCCAGGACCATAAGGCCCTCTTTTTTTTTTTTTTTTTTTTTTTTTTTCCCATGGAGGAGAAGGGCTGCGCTGCACTCTGCTGCAGTGCAATACAGAGGCAACAGTGGAGGGGTCGAGTAAGCAAGCTTACCCGTACGACCCCTCCTTGGCCCAGAAAAATTAATTTAATATCGTGTGGTCCGATGGACCACGGATCAGATATTAAACTGATCAGAACAGATACTACACTTGATCTTAGCCAAAAGGCCGAGAAGGCCCTGTGTTGTTGTTGGTGTTTTTTTTTTCTTTTTTTTTAAGGATAGATCAGCCTTGGAAAATCAGGTGGGGTAATAAGAGCACCTCCACCTCGTAACCTGCCCCTAGATTTTTTTTTTTTAAAGGATAGATCTATTGGCGGGGATCGGCACCTGCTGGAAACCGGGTCCAGCGTCCCACATACATCAACTGATGCAGGCTGAGACCGCTTCGGCTAGCTGCAATCCAGGTTTGGTGTGCCGTGCACTCTACCGACTGAGACAGGCCATCTTTTGAAGTGGGTGGAGACAATGCAACTTCTTACGTTGAGGTTTTCCTGATTTCGCAACTAAGGTTTCACCCGAAAAGGGGAAAAAGTTAAGAAAAAATGTTAAAACACCGAAAAGAGTTCAACACACATAAAACCAGAAGGAAGGGATAGAACAGAACTGGGGATAAAAGATGACGTCCATAACTGGGGTGAGGGGCAACATTGGAATTTGGAAATAAGCAGTTTGCGACTCCGCCCGCGCGTACCTTTCCTCTCATGTGTACCTGAGCAGATCATCACACATCTGGTTTCTCTTTTCCCGCCTGACCATGACATGTCAATGCCATCATCATCACATTTCCTTCTGAAAGAGGAAAACAACAGAACAGGATGTCCTTGCCTTGGAACGGCAGATGAAGAGAGCTTTAAAATTATGAATGAAAAAACTTCAAAAAAGGATTGCACATCATTGCAGAGAGGTAACTTCTCAGTCCTGTGTATGTGTCTGATCTCTTCTGTGACCTGATACATTGCACTGTGGCTCTCTCTTCTGTGACCTGATGCATTGCACTGTGGCTCTCTCTTCTGTGACCTGATGCATTGCACTGTTCGAACTGCCCAGGTGCTATGACTGCCAAGGGTTTGGGCTCATCAGCTGCCCACAGTGTGGCAAAGCGGGGTTGACACCGGAGCAACGCGGAGAGCGATGAAGGAGATGCCGGCGTGACACATTTCCTGAAAAAAAACAGGAGGAGGAGAGGGACACACTTAAAGAACCTGCGACCTCGTCATCGCGACCTGATGACAATGATGATGAACTACTTGCTCTCTCTTCCTGACCTGCTTTGGTATTCCATGGGACCATACTACACACCTTCGAGGAATAGACAAACTCTCTTCCTTCTCTTTTCCTTCGCTTGTATTTCCTGAATTGCAGACAATGTTAGTAACTTAGTACCTACGGAAGGAAGAAAGGTAGGAAGGAAGGAAGGAAGGAAGGAAGGAAGGAAGGAAGGAAGGAAAGAACTCTCTTCTCCTTCGCTTGTCCTTCGCTTGTCCTTCGCTTGTCCTTTGCTTGTCCTTCCCTTGTCCTTCACTTGTCCTTCGCTCTTCCTTCGCTTATCCTTCTCTTATCCTTCTCTTGTCCTTCTCCTTTCCTTCTCTTTTCCTTCCTGAATTACAGACAATGTTAGCTACTACCTAAGGAAGGAAGGAAGGAAGGAAGGAAGGAAGGAAGGAAGGAAGGAAGGAACAAGTGGAAAAAGCTTATAGGGTTACATAACACATTTCTTGGTAAGTTTTTTCTTATACGTAAGTGATGAGGAGAATTTAGGACTAACCGCAACATCGCCCCCCAAGTTGTAAGTGATTAAGACTAACCGCAACGTCCGTCACCCCAAGTTGTACCTCTCGGTTATAGCTAGATGGTTTGCAGATGTTTCGGTCGATGGATTTTACCAAATCCTTCAAACCAGCAACCGCTAAGTATAGTAAAATTAAGGGTCATGCACGGAATGTTCTTGTTCCTCCTCCGCTCTCTCTCTCTCCCCGCTTTCTTTCTTTTTTTCTCAAAGACGATTGCTAAATCTTGGACAAAGCGGGAAACCTTGATGTCACACAATCTGCACGAGGCGAGACCACCTGACAGACGGGAACATCTTTTTTTTTTTTTTTTTTTTTTGTGGGATGGGAACATCCTCCGAACAACTGTGATGTGGGGCTGGAAAAAAGGCCCTTCCCACTGACTTTTCATTAAATTTGAAATATTTGGCTCGCATGACGAGATTGAAAGAGGATTTTTTTGTTGTCACTTTTGACTGACTTTCAACCCTTCCAGAAGCTTGTGTTCCTTGCTTGAAGGCGGTATGCATTAACACTAAGTTATTGGCACCAAATTAGAAAAAAACATACAAAAATGGAAAATGGCACAAAAATCCCTGTTCAATTTTCGCCGCGTGACAAAATGTTTCAAATTTAGAGAAAAGTCTGTTTTCCAGGTTTTTCCCGCTTATCCATTACTACAGCACACCGAATTTGAATAGTAGTTGAGCAGTCCACTTTCTCCCCCTTTGCATTAATTAATTCAATTTAATAATTTTAATTCTCTTTGCTCATTTGCGAGAACATGTTCATTAACTACTTCATATTATTACTAATGCCTTCAGTTTTTTTTTTTTTTTTTTTTTTTTTTTTTTTTTTTTTTTTGTCCAGGCGCTCACACATTTTCATGAGAACACGCATGCACATTATCGCCTCTCCTGCCGTTGTTGTCAGGACAGAGGCAATGATGTACATATCTGTTCTGGCTCTGCCCTGTACTGTAAGGCATGAGCCCCCTCCATGTTGGGAGGGTTGGGAGCGTGAGGCCGCCGGGTATAGGCCTGGTAATAAGGCTGGTATTGACAGAGCAGGACAGCTAAGGCCTGGTTTCATTTTTTTGGCCATAGCGTCACTTGGAATGTAGGATTTGGCAGAAGTAAGGTCAGGGCTCAGAAGTTGCGCATGAATTTTCATAGCTTTTTTTTTTTTTTTTTTTTCTCTCGGTCAAAGCCAGGTAATGGCCACGGTATCCTTACAAGTATCATCAGCAAATGCTTGGTGTAATCTCATTATAAGGGACGCTGGGCCCGGTTCCCGGCACATGCTTCTCCCCACGAATAGATTGGAGCTTTTAATAATAGTAATAATAATAATAATAATAAAATAATAAGAATAAATAATAAGAATAAATAATAAGAATAATAAGAATAAGAATAAGAATGGAGCCTCTCCCCAGGTGCTAGCAGTGTATGCTCTTACCAGCACCGCTAGCACTGGAATTGCCGCCCTTCCCCCCTCCCTCCCCCTGCCTCCCCCTGCACAACCCCCCCTGCGCCACAGGCTCCGTGCTGCCCGACAACCTTACCCAAGTAAACATATTTATAAATATGGGTCAGGTTGGGACACAGGTGGACAGACAGGTCAGGTGAACAATTTGAACATATATTTCGATCGCCTGCGCTCATGGCTTGGTCTGCAACTTGCAAGTTTGCCCATGTGATCTGCCCACGAGTTGTCTAAAAGTCCCTGCTTCAGAAGAACATACAAAGTTTCAAAGAACAGGCACGGAGTAATTTGGTGCCACATGGAACAGTGTTGGGATGTAAAGGGAATTCCAAGGTTATTGACTGGTCAGAGAGAGTAGAACATGTTTTTTTTTTGTTTTTTTTTTTTTTCTTCTTTTTTTGTCTGAAAGCAGGCATTTACAGATTCAATATTCAAATTTCGAATCCTCACCGTAGTTTCAAAGATCAGACACTAAGGAGCCAAGACTTGGGGCTTCGCTGCACTACTCTCCACATGCACAAAAGACAAAAAAGATGGTAATGTATCTTTCCATGTTCTAGCGGTGGATTCAGTCTCTTTTTGCACATTTCGAGAGTAGTGCAGGGAGGCCCTTGATGTTGAAGAATTCACAAACACCGAAACAAGAAAGCTGACACTCACAAAATCCGAGTAGCCAAAAATTGGCTTGAAATTCTGAGGGACTTCCATGCGTCCAGGATGGTGACTAGGTACACATGAATCTAGTAGAACATGTATTTCACCGGCCACTGATCAATGAGAAGAAAGGGCATGCATGCCATTGCTGCCTTCTTTTCACTCTTCTGCCTGTCCTCTGTATACCTGGATTTTTTTTTCTGAGACATTGGGCCTCGCTCCACTATACAATATTCTACATGAATCTGGAGCTCGTAATCTTTCCAATACATTCGAGAGGTTGGACTCCTCCGAACGCAATTGGTCTAGAGAGGTGTCCAAATGCATCTAGAATGTTGAGTAGTGGAGCAAGGCCCACTGTGAGAGTCACAGCTTTGAATCCATTGACTGAAACCATGAGTACGGGCGTCGTTAGACACTCCTTACGACTTCCTCGAGCTTCAAGGAAGCTCTCAAGGAAAAATTGCGGCCTCGTTCCACACATCCTTGGGGACGACCCCCGAGGACGTTTCCTTGTGGCTTGCAGCGGCCGTTTTCATATGATTATATGCGGCAGCGGGGGGGAGTGTCCGTGGTCCAGAATCCTGTGTCCATGTGGAGACGGCGTCATCCAGTGGCGTCCGGCGGGAAAGGGCAGGGCCAGGCGACGAAAAACAGAATAAAAAATAGCGGACCTCCATGTTTGAAATTCGAAATTTGAAGTGTGGCTGTGGTGACAAGCACGACCATTGGCAGGCGGCATGAAGATGGGCCACGGGCGAATCGGGCTTTGCGATGGCATCCCTTCCCGAGGAACACAGTGCTGTGTGCACATGTGCACAGTGGTAGCGTCCATCGCCAGTGACACATGCCATTTTGCGGGCGTCGTTCAACATAGTTTTCCGAGGAGATGGACGTCGACCCGAAGGGGACAGCTTTGCGGAAGTGTCGTGGGGCCGACCATCGTCACGGCAGCGGAGACACGTCAGTCCTGCGGAAGTGTTGGCAATGGAGGGCGGTGGAGAGGTCGGGCGTGCACTGTTGACACCGCTCGACAGGACGGCCATGGCTGCAGTCGTGTCTGCCGCTGTCCTTCATTGTCAACAGGAGAGGGCATTGGGACGAATGAAGGCGCAGCTGAGCCCGCGTAGGAGAAGGACGCTGATGCAAGCTACACACACGACGGCCCCAAATACGTGGCGACTTTGGAGGCTGTCATTCAGTTGTGCTACGCATTGGGTTGCCACGTCGTTCCTCGAGCGACGCGGAGGTGGTGGATCAAACGCAGGACGGGGGGGATGTTGGAGGATCTTCGGCAATGCGACGACACCACGGATGACTACTTACGGCAGGAACAGCACGGCGATGAGGAGCAGCGTGGGGACCACCAGAAGCAGCAAAGCGACGAGCAGCAGCAAAGGGAGCCTGCGGTACAGGTCGGCCATGGACGGCACGGTGGAGAGGGAAGCAATGCCACGTCCGGAGAGCAGCAGAGGGAGCCTGCGGTACAGGTCGGCCACGACCGTTGCGGACGTTCGTAGAGCGCAGGAAACCACATGACATCAGCCGAAGACGACGGCGCCACCCGATGGAGGCCCACCGCCAACGGTAACCGTTGGAGGCCGTTGGGAGACTATGCAGACGTTGGAGATCGGGGATGTCTGTGCTAACACTGTCGGACCACATCTGGACCACCCAAGAACCGAAACTCTCCGTCGATGCATGTCTTCGCCACTCCCTGAATCGCGGTTCCTTGAGCTCCTATCCCCAAGGGACCTCCCGAGGTCCCTTGGGGATAGCCACAAGGATGCCGAATTTTCCTTACGGTGTTTTCACATTTCTTTTTCAATTTTGTCCCCAAGGACAGGTGGAACGAGCGCGTCCTTGTGGATTTCAAGTCCCTGAGGAGTGTCTAACGACGCCCTACCTCTCGCAGCCATTTGGACTCCTCCGAATGCACCTGGTCTAGAAAGGTGTCCAAATGCATCTAGAATGTCGAATAGTGTAGCAAGGCGCACTGTCAGAGTCGCAGTGTTGAATCAATTGACTAAAACCACGACCTCTCGCAGCCGTTTTGTTCCAATGCGACCATTAACGCGCCATGTCCTTTGGTGTCATCGATCTGCCGGACCAAATGGCTGGCAGCACCAGGCACAAAAAAAAAAAAAAAAAGCATCTGTGCCAGTTTGTTTTTTCTATTGGCGCACAGCAGGCATTCACATCGGGAAAAAGATTTAAAAGAGGCTCGGAGGAGGTCTGGGAATTCAACTTGTACATGGATGCATGCACATTGCATACATTGCTTTTTTTTTTTTTTTTTTTTTTTTTTTTTTTTT